TCATGCTGAGAAATCAAATGCTTTTGCCAACAAATCCACTGAAGTTAGAGTATTTCATTTAATTTTCTTTCTGTTGCATTGAAGACTTATTCAAATTGTCCATTGACATATCATTAAGGTCACCACATACAGTATGGCTTTTAAATAAATGAGTGCTGTCCCAGCAAAGAGGACCTGAACTGCCAGGAGGAGGAGGATCCGATGAACAAGCTCAAGTGCCAGAAGATCGTGTCCTGCCGTATCTGCAGAGGGGACCACTGGACCACCCACTGCCCCTGCAGGGACACACTGGGACCCATGCAGAAGGAGCTGGCCAAGCAGCTGGGCCTATTCACCAGCAAGAAGGAGAAGCTGCTTGGAAAGCTGGAGCCTGCACGGGCTACCCAGAACATGTAAGGCAAGTACATGCCTCCAAGCCTGTGCGACTGCACCAGCCACCACAGAGAGGCCACACGTCCGCTCGCCACTATCCACATCACCAACCTGTCTGAGGACACGCATCAGACTGACCTACAGGAGCTCTTCCAGCCTGGACAAGGACAAGACCACTGGCCAGTCTAAGGGCTTTGCCTTCCTTAGCTTCTGCCGCCACAAGGACGCCGCCCACACCTTCGCCAAGGTGTCAGGCTTCAGCTACAACCACCTCATTCTCAACATGGAATGGGCCAAGCCATCCATTAACTAAGCCAGTTGCTGCTGCTGCCACCACCGCCTGCGCCCTTCATGACAAAAGGTAGCTTCTGGGGGCAGGGGGACTCTGACTGCAGTAAAAGAGCTCAAAAAAAAAAAAAAAAAAATCCCGCAAAGGCACAGCTAAGCAAAAGGTAAAACTAGATTCAGAAGCAGAGAGTCTGTTTCTAGTGCTTGAAATGAAACCAGTGAGCTGTGCTGACTCTAATACTATCTTGCCTTTCAATATGATCATGGCAACAGTTTTTAATAAAACTGCTCATCATCACAAACATACACATTGAAAACTGCAGTAAAAACATATCTTCACATTAAAGTCACCATATGCTACCAAAAATAAATTAATGACTGATCTTACTAAAAAATTATTACCAATTGCCATCTACTAATTTAAGGGAACAGTATTTTTTTTCAATTTTTTATATTAACTTATTTGAGAGGTAGAGTTACAGACAGTGAGAAAGATAGACAGAGAGAAAGGTCTTCCTTCCGTTGGTTCACTCCGCAAATGGCCACAACAGCCAGAGATGATCTGATCTCAGAGTTTCTTCTGGATCTCCCATGTGAGTGCAGGGGCCCAAGTGCTTGGGCCATCTTCTACTACTTTCCCAGGCCATAACCGAGAGCTGTATTGGAAGAGGAGCAGCCAGGTCTAGAACCAGTGCCCATATGGTATGCCAGTGCCGCAGGCAGAAGATTAACCTACTGTGCCATGGCACTAGTCCCTCAGTGTTTGTAATATAAAGCAACTACTAGGGATAAATGATGTTATGCTGAACTTCTTTATAGAAATAGAGAAAATTCAATTATAATACACAAACCAATTTTTAAAAGGCACTGGTGATGTCTTCTATGTTTAACAACTATTAACATCTAAAGCACTTTTTAAAAATGTATTTATTTATTTATTTGACAGATAGAGTTAGATAGTGAGAGAGAGAGAGAGAAAGTCTTCCTTCTGTTGCTTCACTTCCCAAATGGCTGCTGCAGCCGGAACTGCACCGATCCGAAGCCAGGAGATAGGTGCTTCCCCCTGGTCTCCCATGTGGGTGCAGGCGCCCAAGCAGTTGGGCCATCCTCCACTGCCTCCCTGGGCCACAGCAGAGAGCTGGACTGGAAGATGAGCAGCTGGGACTAGAACCTGGTGCCCCTATGGGATGCCGGCGCCACAGGCGGAGGATTAACCTAGTATGCCACAGCGCTGGCCCCACATCTAAAGCACTTTAATTGATCAACTATAACTCAAAATAATTAAGGATATCTCAATACAAAATAATTTTTAGTATGAACATTATGGTCAAATGAATTGCTAGATCGTAAAATTCCTTGAGTCTGAAGAAGGTGCAGAGGCATTTAACTAAAGCACAAAAAGCTTTATTTATGAGAGACAATGTGGTAAGATCTAAAAGTGAGGTTTATTTTTTTTTTATTTTTTTTTATTTTTGACAGGCAGAGTGGACAGTGAGAGAGAGAGACAGAGAGAGAAAGGTCTTCCTTTGCCGTTGGTTCACCCTCCAATGGCCGCTGCTGCAGCCGGCGCACCGCGCTGATCCGATGGCAGGAGCCAGGATCCAGGTGCTTTTCCTGGTCTCCCATGGGGTGCAGGGCCCAAGCACCTGGGCCATCCTCCACTGCACTCCCTGGCCATAGCAGAGAGCTGGCCTGGAAGAGGGGCAACCGGGACAGAATCTGGCGCCCCAACCGGGACTAGAACCCGGTGTGCCGGCGCCACAAGGTGGAGGATTAGCCTATTGAGCCACGGCGCCGGCCTAAAAGTGAGGTTTAAAGATTTATTGTATTCATTTGAGGGGTAGAGTTATAGTGAGGGGGAGAGACAGAGAGAGAGGTCTTCCATCTGCTGGTTCACTCCCCAGGTGGCCACAATGGCCAGAGCTGAGCCGCACCAAAGCCAGGAACCAGGATCCAGGAGCTTCTTCCAGGTCTCTCACACGGGTGCAGGAGCCCAAAGACTTGGGCCATCTTCTACTGCTTTCCTAGGCCATAGCAGAGAGTTGGATTGGAAGTGGAGTAGCTGGGTCTTGAACCGGCACTCATATAGGATGCTGGCACTGCATACAGCAGCTTTTACCTGCTATGCCAAGGCACCGGCCCCGAGCCCCTTTTAATCTACTTGGTGGGAGGGGCCATATGGATGTGCAAAGTACCACATCAACGGCTGATAAGGTGGGTGGGAAATGTGCAGAAATACCTCCATTCATGTCAAGATTCATTTTCAATTCTCTTTATATACAGAAGATCAATTTAGCATATATTAAGTAAAGCTTTCAACGGTTTGCACCCACACAGAAACACAAAGTGTAAAATACTGTTTGAGTACTAGTTATAGCATTAAATCACAATGTACAGCACATTAAGGACAGAGATCCTATATGAGGAGTAAGTGCGCAGTGACTCCTGTTGTTAACTTAACAATTTGATACTCTTGTTTATGGTGTCAGTAATCATCCTAGGCTCTTGTCATGAGTTGCCAAGGCTATGGAGGCCTTTTGAGTTCACCGACTCCGATCATATTTAGACAAGGTCATAGTCAAAGTGGAAGTTCTCTCCTCCCTTCAGAGAAAGGTACCTCCTTTGATGACCTGTTCTTTCCACTGGGATCTCACTCGCAGAGATCTTTCATTTAGGTTTTTGTGTGTGTGTGTGTGTGTGCCAGAGTGTTTTGGCTTTCCATGCCTGAAATACTCTATGATATACCTTCTAAGCAGTTTGGAATGTCCCAGGTGAGGGCCTTGCAAAAGCCAGTGCTGGGGCAGCCAAATGCCAGGCAATGAAAACTCCACTAGTCTTTGGATTATCTATTTGTACCCAGTTTCATTGGATTGGGATTAACTATTTGTGCCTCAACAACCTAACAAGTCTTAACAACTCCAGTAATTTAATACATAGAGGAAAAAACTTTTGGTGTTATATAGAAAAGGGTCTTTGGGGAAAAGGAACCCTGGAATGGGGACACCAACAGTCTTCCTGGCTATCTCCTGCTGAGAGGGAGCTTTGTCAGGAAAGTGGTTTCTCTCTCTCCCAGTGCTGGGACTGAGGACAGTCCAGTGACTGGTACTGGATGCCTCTTAGCAAGAAGACATTGTCCAATTTGAACCCATGAATGAACAAATCATTTAGTAGTAGCTGAAGAACGCATGGCCCTAAAGATACAAGAAAAAAAATTGCCATGAGGGAAGTGACAAGGTAGCCAGGTAGGTTTTTGTATTCAGTTGTTCCAGGGCCGGCACTGTGGTGAAGCAGGTAAAGCTGCCTCCCTCAGTGCCGGCATTCCATATGGGCACCAGTTCAAGTCCTGGCTGCTTCACTTCTGATCCAGCTCTCTGCTATAACCTGGGAAAGCAGTAGAAGATGGCCCAGGCACTTGGGTCCCTGTGTCCACGTGGGAGTCCCGGAAGAAACTCCTGTCTCCTGGCTTCAGATTTGCACAGCTCCTACCATTGTGGCCAATTGGGGTGTGAACCAGTGGATGGAAGACCTCTCTCTCTCTCTGCCTCTCCTTCTCTCTCTGTGTAACTCTGACTTTCAAATAAATAAATAAATTTGAAAAATCAGTTGTTCCAAGAATCAGACGTCCATTGTTGAGTTTCAGATCCAGCTTGCGTTCAACATCCCAGATAAAACCAAACTGACTGACATAGAAACAGCACTCTTTTTCTAAGGACAGAGACCCTCCTTTTTCTTCTGTTAACAGGTTCAAGCACTACTGGTTTTGTCAGGTTACTGCTGCCAAGGAGTCAACTTGGTCTTGAACTTTGAGATGTTTCATGTAAGCTGTCTTGCTCATCTTTAGAAAGGGTTTGTTAGTAGGAGAGGGATGTGGCAAATGCTCATACCTACCATGCTCACCCAAGCATCAGTTTATAAGCTGGCTAGGAGGGGTTTAAGGGTGACAGCTCTTTTATGGCAAATATTTGTGCTTAGATGAACCAGTAGGAGTTGGTTATTCAGAGCCACATTACCATTCGGAGACAGGAAGTTAGAAGTGCAAGCTCTGGTATAGTTAGTGAGGAGGCAGAGGTAAGTGTTGGTCCCACAAAGGAAAAAGATCCCCTGTTTATGGAGCCAAGTTGTCAGATGAGTGGAAAACAAATGTTGAAATAGATAAGTGCTCATGCTGCTCCTGGTTTGTTCTCCCAGATGTTGCGAGTATCTGCCAATGTAGCACCTGTGAGGGGTAGTAGGGATTTGCTTTAGCTTATTTTCATAGAGAATAAAATGTTTGTGGGTATCCATGAGGACCCAATCAGAATTTTTATATGTGTTTGGAAGAAAGCACTGCATCATTTGAGTTACAGAGGCTGATTGCCAGGGAAAGAACCCGTGCTGTGTAGAGGGACAGTCTACAGAGAGCTGGGAGTCAGGGTTAGAAGAGCTGGGTATGGAGAGAGTGAGAGACACTAAGAACAGGACTTGTTGTGTGAATTTGCTGTTAGTCTTGGGGGGAGACCTAATAATCCAGTGACTGTGGTGGTCTGAGAGACCAGTAATCTCAATGATTACATCACAAACCTCAGGAGAGTTATCTCCCAGAGCAGTGTCTCCCTCCCACCACCCACCCCAGGACACAAACATCCCCTTGTGATGCAAAAAGGGGGCTTGGTTAGGAGTGGCATATTAGCAGTAACCAGGCCAAGGATGGGTATTCTAATATATGGGAATCTATTGATGCTCAACATATCATCTTCAAAGAGCTTAAGGGTCTGGTCCACCTGGGCCATGAGATATTTTCCAAGGAGAGTTTTTTCTGCATCTCTGCTTTCTATTTTAATGGAAAAGTGTGCCCTGTAAACTGAGGGGCGGAGATTGTGATAAAAGCCAAGGAAGATAGGGAGAGGCATATCTAGCAGTCCTTTGCAAGATTTCTATTTGTATTATTTAAAATTGAGAAGGTGAGATTGTGTTTTCAAAATGATCTATGGCAAGAAAGTCCTGTAGGGGAACCGGACAGGAGGCAGACAGGGCAGCAGTCAGGAGAAGCTGTATGAAAATCATCTTTTGGGTATTAGAGCTCAGGGTAAGTAGAAAAACCCAGAAAGGCACTCAAACACATGATCAACAAAATCACCCTGGAGGAAAATGTTCCTGTTCTGTTTGGATAGGGGGAATGGCAGCTTTCAAGAAGGGTCAGGACAAAATCATAGAGAAATCCAGGATCAGACTTTGGGGCAGTCTCACAGTTTTGTGAGCAGTCGTGTCTTCCTCTTCAGAGTCCTCTGGAATAGCACTGAGATGAAGAGCTGCGGGTGTCTTTGCTTGTGATCACCGCCTCTTTGGGGCTTCATCCTGGTTGTTATCTTCCTGGGTTGGGGCAACACTTAACCTGGAAAAGTGAACCCAGGAGGGAAATCCTGACAGTTTGGCAGCCATGAGTGTAGTTAAAAGGACCGACTAAGGCCCACTCCAGCTGCGGTGGGGTGGCTTTGGGTTGAGGGTTTTTATATAGACCCAATCCCTGGGGTTAATTTGTAATGGAGAAAGGTCAGGGTAGGGCTTTGGGAGGAAGCAATTTGTGAAACAGTAAAGGAGTTAGTGAGTCTGTGCCAATGCTAGAAGGTAGTTTCTAAGGGAGGAAGGTCAAGAGGGAAAATTGCCTGAAATGAAAGAGCAATCATACATGAATTCAAAAGGGCCAAGCTGGTGTAGGGGGTGTAGTGTGATGTGACATTGCATAAGACACAGTGGGAAGGGCAGAGGCCAAGCAGCTTTGGTTTGGGGCATGAGTTTTTTGAGATGATCTTAATGAGGCCATTTGCTCTTTTCCCCTTGCCTGAGGATTGTGAGCAACCGAGGATATGGAATGTCTAGGCTTATGGTTAAGGCAGTGAATATTCCCCAGGGGGAATCTGAGACATGAAAGCCAGTCCAGTATCTCTCTGAATGTAGGTGGGGAAGCCAAATTGGAGGATGATTTCCTCTACAAGAAAGGTTATCACTGTATCTGCTCTGATGAGCAAAGGGCAAGCCTCCACCCACCCGGAAAAGGTGTGTACAAAGACAAGTAAATACTTTATCTTTTTGACTGGAGGCAAATAAGTGAAGTCCATTGGCCAGTCTCCAGTCTCGTGCAGTAATTTGCCCTCTTGCCTGGTGGATTACAAAGGAGTAGGGTCTCAGATGATCATGGGGAAAGGCCTTTTGGCAAACGGAACATGATTGATTAAGTGCCAACAGAGAGGTTTCAAGACAGATAAGGTTAATCAATAAGATAGGAAAGCAGGAGAGTAAGAGGTCTGCTCCCTACATGAAATTGCTTGTGGAGGGAAGTGAGAAAGCCAAAGGTCTTTTTAGAAGTAATACCTGACCATTTTTAAGAAACTGGCCATCTTGAGTAGAGAAAAATCAGTCTTTTCTTTTGATGAGTATTAGGGAGGCTAGAAGGGAAATGCTAAGAGCAAGAAAGATGGCAGAAAGTGGGTCTAAGCAGCCCGGTATTTTGCTTCCCTGTATGCTTTGTTGTTTCCCAGAGCAAGGAAAGAGATTTTTCTTTGATGTCCCCTGCAGTGGAGGATGGCTACTTGCTGTGGGAGTGTTGCTTCCTGGAGTAGTTTTAAAGTGATGGTGCCAGGGCCGGCACTGTGGCATGGTGGGTTAACGCCCTGACCTGAAGTGCTGGCATCCAATGTGGGCGCCGGTTCTAGTGCCAGCTGCTCCTCTTCCTATCCAGCTCTCTGCTATGGCCTTGGATAGCAGTAGAAAACTTAGGCCCCTGCACCCACGTGGGAGACCGGGAAGAAGCTCCTGGCTTCGGGTCGGCGCAGCTCCATCCGTTGCAGCCAATTGTAGAGTGAACCAGCGGATGGAACACCGCTCTCTCTGTCTCTACCTCTCTGTGTAATTCTATCTTTCAAATAAATAAAATAAATCTTTAAAAAAAAAAAAGAATGAAGGTGCCATTGATGATGGAGGAGCCCTGAGTTGTAATATATCCTCTTTCTTGCCAAATGGGGCATGAGACCACATGAGATGATAGGTGTATTTGGAGTCTGTGTGTATATTTACTTGTAGACCTTTGCCCAGGGCAAGAGCTCAGGTAAGAGCCAAAAGCTCTGCATGTTGTGAGGTTGTGCCTGATGATTAAAGGATTTGACTCTAGGACAGTGTCGACAGTACCAATGACATTGCATGCCAAAGAAGAGGCATGGTTGAACTCCCATCTATAAACAATGTGGGTGGGGGTAGGGAGGAGGCAGGTGGGTTTAGGTAAAGGGGACTCACAGATTTTGAGAAAGGAGCTTAGGAACTGATCAAGGATTTCATCACAATTGTTTTGGAGGTCTTTGGAGTCAATGAGGGTAGGAGTCAGAAGAAGGGCTGTTTTAAGAGAAGGGCATATTTGGATTGTAATATTAGGATTCTATAGAAGGGTAGCATGAAAGGTTCATAAACTGGTAACCAAGGCTGGCACCACGGCTCAATAGGCTAATCCTCTGCCTGTGGCGCCAGCACCCCGGGTTCTAGACCCGGTCGGGGCGCCGGGTTCTGTCCCGGTTGCCTCTCTTCCTGTCCAGCTCTCTGCTGTAGCCCCGGAGTACAATGGAGGATGGCCCAAGTGCTTGGGTCCTGCACCTACATGGGAGAGCAGGAGAAGCACCTAGCTCCTGGCTTTGGATCAGCACGGCACATTGGAGGGTGAACCAATGGTAAAGGAAGACCTTTCTCCCTGTGTCTCTCACTGTCCACTCTGCCTGTCAAAAAAAAATTAAAAAAAAAAAAAAGCTGGTAACCAAAATCATGGACATGACATGGTGGGATAAAAGGGCCTGAACGGAATGTGAGGTATGTACAGTGAGATTTTGAGAAAGAACTAATTTTGAGCTTTCTAATATTAGCTGTGAAGCTATGGCAAGCTGCAGAAACAAGTTAGCCAGCCCAGCAGTTTCATCACACTGCTTTGAGAAATAAGCTACCAGGTGAATACAAGGGCCAGAAAACTGGGCAAGGAGTCCAAGTATGAAATCCCCCACTTTTGGGGGGGTAAAGATTTATTTATTTATTTATTTATTTGAAAGTAAGAGTTACAGAAGAGAAGCAGAGAGAGAGAAAGAGACAGAGAGACAGAGAATATCTTCCACCTGCTGGTTCACTCCCCAAATGGCTACAATGGCCAGGGTTGGGCCAGGAAGCCTCTGGACTCCTGGCCAGGAGCCAGGAGCCTCATCCAGGACTCCCACATGGGTGCAGGGGCCTTAGCACTTGGGCCATCCTCCTCTGCCTTCCCAGGTACACTAGCAGGGAGCTGGATCAGAAGTGGAACAACCAGGACTCAGACTGGTGCCCAGAGGGGATGCTAGTGCTGCAATCCACAGCACCAGCCCATGAAACTCCTTTTCATGTCTACATGTAAATGAAAGACTTTAAAGGGATTGTGGAGATAAAAGGCTGGGGCTGAAATGAGGGCCTTTTTCACCTGGTTGAAGGCCATCCTGATAGAGGCCAGAGATTCAAGGGGATTATAGAGGTTTTCAGAGGCTGCCTGATATGTATTTCTAGCTGTAAGACCTAATTGGGTATCCATACATGGAAGAAATTGGCCCATCCTAAGAAGTACAACAAGTTTGATTTTGATTGTGGAATGGGGATTGGTCAATTAAAGAGTTAGTCTTGGGTAAGCCCTCTGCATGTAGGTGTAATGTGTAATTCTAGACAGGTGTAGGTTTTATAAAAACTGACCCTTTTATCAAACTGAGCTTGATAAGTTTATTTTAAAAAAGATTCATGAGGCTGGCGTTGTGGTGATTCAGGTTAAGCTGCCTTCTGCAACACAAGCATCTAATGAGTGACAATGCAAGTCTGAGCTGTTCCACTTCTGATCTAACTTCCTGCTAAAATACCTGGGCAAGATGGCCCAAGTCCTTGGACCCTTACCACCCATGTGGGAGACCCCAATGAAGCTTCTGGCTCCTGGCTTTGACCTGGCCCAGCTGCAACCATTGCAGCCATTTGGGGAGTAATCCAGAATATAGAAAATATTTTTCTGTCTCTCCTTCTCTCTCTGTTACTCTGTCTTTCAAATAAGTAAATAAATATTTTTAAAAATTCACACATACTGTTTATTATATTCAAATAAAAACTGGTGGCAGAATGGGAAAGAAAATTCAAGTTCAAAAAGAACAAAGAATAGTGTGAATTTTTCCATAGTAAGAGAAGCCTATTTATGTTGTTTAGGTTTTGATGGATAATGAAGAGTATCAAATTATTGTGGTATTTATATTCCACTGGATACATTATAAAAATTCTACTTTTAAATGTTAAAGTTTACATTACAAAGAAATTACTTCATTTACAGCTCACATAACTAATTCCAATTCTAAAATGTGTAAGGAGAAAAAGTTTTTCCAAACCTTTTATGGGGAAAGCTAACAAAAATATTTAATGACATCTACTATAGCAAAACTTTCATACATGTGCATATAAAAACACATTGTATAGGGATATTCATGGAAATATTATTTAAAATAGCAAAAAAAGGAACATAAATGTCCATAAATATCTCTAAAAATGTGATATTTTTATAGGATAGAATATTACACCACAGGTTAAAATGAATTAGATCGTTTATCAACAGATACTGATTAAATCTGATCCTCAGATTATAGTGGGTACCTCATTCTGTCATTTGTCATTTTCCTCACAACAGAGCAACAAGTCCAGGAAGCAAAAAGTCTGTAAGCCATCACCTAAATCTTGGCCCTGAAGCAAAGAACTTTGAGTGAGTATACAACATGGTCACATACTTATGATCCATGGTTAGCTAAGGCAATAATGAGTACCCTGCTCTTTTAGAGAGGAGAGGGGAGATGGAAAGGGTCAAAGAACCAATTAGGAGGGAAAAGAATTTCTTTAATATTTATTTTAAATCTCTACGTGCCTGGAAAGAGGAAGTAAGACACTTAGTTATTTATACAGGAAGGCTCAATGGAGGAAATATAAGTGATCTAACAAATATCCAATAGTGCTTGTCTTAGCAAGCACTTAATTCTACAATAATAAAATCAAATCAGGAGTCCATTTCTATAAGAAGGCAAAATATATAATGCCCAGTAATAAAAATTAAGTTTCTTACCAAGAAGGCTGATGTTGTAGTATAGCAGGTAAAGCTGCTGCCTGCAACTCTGGCATCCCATATGGGCACCAGTTCATGTCCTAGATGCTCCACTTCTGATATAGCTCCCCGCTAATGGCCTTGGAAAAGCAGCAGAAGATGGACCAAGTGTTTGGGCCCCTGTTACCACGCAGATCTAGAAGAAGCTCCTGGCTCCTGGCTTTGGTCTGGCCCAGCCCTGGCCATTGTGGCCATGTCGAGAGTGAACCAGCGAATAGAAGATCTCTCTCTCTCTCTCTCTCTCTCTGTCTCTCCTGCTCTCTGTAACTCTTTCACACAAATAAATGAATCTTTTAAAAATTTCCTTACCTATTCATATGAATTTCATTCATGTCTTTTCATTTAAAGAAGTCTACCTAGGTTTTTAAATATTTTGAAAATTTAGCCCTATTTTGTCACTGACCACATTAAAATTAGTATTAATATAAAATGGGATGTATTAAGAGCAATAATGATGATAACTATCAATGTTTATTACTAGGTGTTTGTTGATAACATTTAAAAATGTATGGGGTCATTAAAAGGCATTTGTAGACTTATGAAGACACCTGACACATTTATATTTTCTCTCACAGGTCCCCACAAACTGCTTCTGTAAGGAGAGTACAGGGACACAATCATGCAAGTAATAACAATATTTACTGACTGAATATTAAGAATTTACAGGCATCAGCTACTTAAATACCCCTCAAGTATTACAATTTGACCCTACATAGCTTTTCTACCACAAGTACTAAAATTGTCCTTCTATAACATCTGAAGCTTTATTAGCATTTCTGAAATTTTCCACCCTCTGATGATATTTCTCCCTAAGAATCTAGAACACTGTAAGCATTCTTAAGCAGACCCATCCCATCAGTTCACCAGACATGCCTAGACAGATTCAAATCTCAGAAGTGAATTCAACCTACATGCAGGTACTTCTGCCAGAGGTTGTAAGAAGGAAGAAAGGAAATGTTACTGCATTAATTATGCTTATTAACCCCATATTGTACATGAGGAGTCTTCAAAAAGTTCATGGAAAGTACCTATTATGACAAAACTTTGTATGTATTTCAAACCTTTTTTGCATCAAAATAACCTTATTTTTCATTATATTTTCCATGAGCTTTTTGAACTACCCTCATATGTGAAAAGGTGATTCAGTGGAATTAAGAATTGTAGCCCTGGACAAAAAACTGGATTGCCATCTGTAAATATTTCTAACTTCTTAGAAGTTTACTACTTCCACACTATTTCATTCTTCTCCTTGGATCAGACTGATGATGTATTTCTAGAGTTAGACACTCTTTATGCTGATTTATAGCGAACACTTAACCTGAGTCTTTTTTTTTTCTTGCTTCTTTATCCACCATTCCCCAATATCATACTCTGTTAGGGGAGGTATTTATTGTGTATATTCAGATTGCAAATTCCTTTAGAGTCTATTTAGCATGCAGGTTAAAAACATGTCTCAAGGGGCCGGCGCTGTGGTGCGGAGGGTTAAAGCCCTGGCCTGAAGCGCCATATCCCATATGGGTGCTGGTTTTAGTCCCAGCTGCTCCTCTTCCCGTTCAGCTCTCTGCTGTGGCCTGGGAAAGCACTAAAGGTTGGCCCAAGTCCTTAGGCCCATGCACCCACGTGTGAGACCCAGAAGAAGCTCCAGGCTCCTGGCTTCGGATCAGTGCAGCTCCAGCTGTTGCAGCCAATTGGGGAGTGAACCAGTGGAATGAAGACCTCTCTCTCTCTCTCTGCCTCTCCTCTCTCTGTGTAACTCTGACTTTCAAATAAATAAATAAAAATCTTTAGTAAAAAGTCTCAAAAGCCAGTTTGCTGTGAAATTTGCCCTGTAATTTACCAGTTGTGAGGTGATTAACAAATTACTTAATCTCTCTGTACCCCATTGTCTGTATCTGTAAAATGGGGATAATAATTATTATTGTACCCACCTCATAAGGTTGTTATAAGAATTGAGTGGGGAGATATATAAATAAGTTTTGTTTGATGCAAAAATTTTTAAAATCCATGCATAGTTTTTTCACAATATGCATTATGAAATATTTTAATATAATCCATGAACTCTCTGAAGACCCTTCATACAAACAGATTTCAACATTGTTTTGCACCAGTATAAATTTACCTTTTAATTGCATTTTTCTACTTTTTGAAGCTCTTTTATAATCACTAAGAACAAGCCTGTAACACAGTAAGCACTATGGAAGTTAGCTGTACTGAGTACAGATACTAGAACTCACTCAGTTATACTTTCTTTGTTGCCATCTCTGACACCTTGTATATTGTTTAATATGTGATAAGCTTTCTGTAAATGCTGAATGAATGGTGATTAAGTATAAACAAGTACAATATAGGTTGTAAGAAAATAAGGATTGCTCTTTCTAGTTTGTAAGAGATTTTCTCCAGGGAGCTATCTAGGCCATGGGGAAGATGACAGCTCCAGAAGCTGGCCTCCACAGACAACTTTAAATGGGTGGGGGTGGGCAGAGATAGTCCTTCAAAACGTCCCAATAAAACAGAACTTTCAAAATAGTTGTGCGTCTTTTATTAGTTAATCTTATGCAATGCCAATGTTTTAGTTAAAGATTTCAACAGGTAAAGCCATTGCCAGCAATGCCAGTATCCCATATGGGTGTCGGTTCGAGTCCCAACTATTCCGCTTCCAATCCAGCTCTCTGCTATGGCCTGGGATAGCAGTGGAAGATGGCCTAAGACCTTGGGCCCCTGCATCTGCATGGGAAACCTGGAAGAAACTCCTGGCTCCAGCCATCTGGAAAGTTGGAAAGTGAACCAGTGGATGGAAGACACATTCTCTCTCTCTTTTTCTCTCTCTCTCTCTTTTTCTCTCTCTCTCTCTTTCCCTCTGCCTCTGCCTTTCTCTAACTCTGCCTTTCAAATAAATAAATGAATCTTAAAAAAAAAAATTTCAACTAAGCTGCATTTGCCTCTGAGTTAACTCTGAAGTCAATGCTTGGTATTGTGAGAATAATCCAATCCCATTTGAGCAGGCTTCTCTTAAGTCATAGGACCAACATTGTGACATGAGCAAGAATGCATACAATCTCTTAACTCTGCCCCACCCCTCCAATTCAAAGTTCTCTGTGGAGGCCAGCATCTGGAACTGTCATCTCCCCCATGGACTAGATAGCTCCCTGGAGAATATCTTACAAACTAGAAAAATGTTAGACTCAGCTGAACTGTGCAGAGAGCAAGCCAACACCGGCTCCCCAGGAACCAGCCTCATTCACAGTTGTCAGAAGGTACAGTAATATTTAGAGTCAAAACTTCATTTTTGCTTCAGTGAAGCTGTTTCTGTTTCTATTAAAGTCCTTAGAGGTGTGGGTGTATATATATATATATATATATGTGTGTGTGTGTATATATATATATATACATATATATATGTGTATATATATATATATATATATACATAGAGAGAGAGAGAGAGAGAGATCAAGATCTATATATATAAAACTTTTCTACCTTTGTACTTCCCATAAGGCCTACAGCATTTTTCATATCAGATAAATATTCAGCTAAGCATTCATAAACTCAATGACTAAAAAACTACTCATTTTCTTCAAATACAAACATAAACATACAGCTACTACTTATCAAGTATATGATATAGTCCTGGAATAATAATGCCTATATGTTAATTTTTCATATCATGTTATATAAGCTTTTCTTCTTAAATCTTGGTATTGGATGTTATCTGGAAAGTCCTTAATCACTGTTTTCCTCTTTTGCTTCCCAAAAGGAACATGAACAGAGGAAGTGTCAGACTTAGTTAAGATTCTCTGCCCTGAAGGGGAACAAAGGTAGTATGCTATGAGGCCTTGCTAATTACCAACCAAACGCACTGATGCACCTTTCACCTCAGTTACAACATATCCAAATAACCAAAATTTCCTAGGATGTGGAAACTAAATTTTATTCAAAAGAGTAACTTTTCTATTTCAAATTAATTCTGATGAAATAATTTTCTTACATTTACTTTCCATTTTTTCTAAGATATAAGTGTCCAAATCATAACTGAGGTTTAATTTCATCGATTATCCTAATTAATTCTGGAACAATATAATGCTTTTATAAAACTCTAGTGTGGGAGAGAAAAATTACAATATTCTTATTCTAGAACTGGGTTCAGAAATAACCTTTTCATTCCTAAGGGAGTCAAACAGAGTTAATTCATGTCTTTTTGCCAAGAATGGCAAAAATGGCCTCAGCATGGCCCTGAGGAGAACAATATGGAGAGGCTGAATAGAAAGGGGAAGGCAGCATACAAGGGAGAGATGGGAGATGGAGATTGCTAAACGTAGACACTTCTCTCAAGGGTCAGCAGCTTCTTTAAATCCTACTGTGCTGATTAACCTAACTTCAGAGGGACAAAAAACTACAAGGAAGCAAAAAGAGAAAAGGGATCGGATGAGATGGAAAAAGATTACCAAAAGAGGGAGATTGGGGGAGGGGAGTGAGGAAAAGAAGTCCATCTGGTGGAGAGCAGTAGAGCATAACATGAAATTGCCTTAGGTACCAAAGTACCTAAGTCTAGAGTCTTCGCCCCACTTGAAACAACAGCCTGGTTCTAGCCCAGTTCCACTCCAATTGTGAAGACTTGTCCTTCTTTATGGATGGTCAAGAATTACTCGTGTTTCACTTATTATAAAATATGAATGTATTTAGAACTATTATTCTGCAGAATATGAACTCCTTTATCTTTCTTCTGCTCCATTCTATGTATTCAACACTATTCTTATTTCTTATATTTTAATAGGGTATATGTGAAATAAATGGACTATGATCTTCTAACCATAAGTTCTCTTTGAAGCAAGCTTATCAAAAAAATAAAAAAATAAAAAGAATTGGCCCAAGCAAGACCTTGGTCACTTAGCCTTGAGATTATTTACAGCAAACCATTAAACAAATGAATCAAAGGGTCTTGTGATCAATGAAGCAATAAATTAATTTAAAACATATATATATATATATTTGAGGTCTTATAGCTAAACAATACAAAATTATTTTTCTCTCTTAAACTAAGACTAGGCGGGGGATTATTTCTTTTTTTGTCTGGAATTTCAGCTAAATATAAGAAAAACTAGTAGCTAAATATAAGAAAAAGTAGTAACTGAATTGGCACAATATGTGTTGCCATAAAATCTTCTTATGAATATTTTGGCAACTGTCTTAGTCTTCTCAGGATACTATAACAAACATAGACTGGGTGGTACAAACAACGGAAATTTATTTTCTCATGGTTTGAGAGACTGGGAAGCCCAGAATCCAGGTACTATCTGATTTGGTTCTTGATAAGGGCTCTCTTTCTGGCTTGCAGAGGGCTGCCTTCTCTGATGTCCTCACAAGGAGGAAAGAGAGAGAAATAGGCTCTGTGCTATCCGTTCTTATAAAATCATGAATCCTATCATGAGGGCCCCATCTGCATGACTTCATTTAATGATAATTACCTCCCTAAGATCTCATCTCCAAATACCATTACATTGGTAGTTAGGACTTCAACTTCTGAATTTTGCAAACATGACATATTTCAGAGTAAGTACCCTGAATCTTGTCTTTGTTTTACTGACTGTAGCTATAAAATTTAGATGTAATGTATGGAACAGCTACTTGAGGACTCTGGAAGATAAAAAGTAGCAGATTAATGTGGGAAGAAGAACAGCATTCAAAACAATGATAAACCAGCAGTGAGTTTTTCATTTTTGTGTTTTCCCTACCAGAATCCTTTAATGCAGATGTATGATGGTCTGAAATTCTGAACAGGCATCAGGTCACAGAGAAAGTTACAGGAGTTGTGCTCAAGTTTCTCCTAATACTCAGAGAATATATTTGGAATCTGCCACTCTTTGTTCTTTTGTTCTCTGTTCTACAGTGCTCCAGGCTCCAGACCACCCTGCCAGCCCAATGGTGGCAATGATGGCAATGGCAGCGGGAGCCCGCACACTCCAACATCTATGAGGGATGGGAAATTTCTTCTATGGAAAAGATGGAGTTTCAGGATGATGGGTCAAATACAAGTTGCTTTTAGCCTTTATCTTTCCACTATGTGGCTCTAGATTCGAGACAATGGTGTAAGTCTAAAAAAGTATATAGCCAGAGCTGGCATTGTGGCATAGCAGGTAAAGCCATTGCCTGCAACACCAGCTGTCATGTAGGCACCAGTTTGCATCCTGGCTGTTCCACTTCCAATACAGCTCCCTGCTAATGGCCTGGGAAAAGCAGTGGGAGGTGGCCCAGGTGTTTGGGCCCCTGCCACACATGTGAGAGACCTGGAAGAAACTCCTGGCTCCTGAATTCAGCCCGGCTTAGTACTGGCTGTTGTGGCCACCTGGGTTGAAACAGAATGAAGACCTCTCTCTGACTCTCCCTCTCTCTCTCACTAATTCTTTCAAATAAAATAAAATAATTAAAACAAAAACCATGACAGAACAGGGTAACTAAAGCATTAGCTTTCTAGCCTTGAGACTGAAAAATGAAGTTCCAGGCACCAGAAAGTACAAGAGATGGAGAGGTGGGAATTCAGGAAACTTACAAAGTTGGTTATCAACTCTAGACCTCAAGCTGCACAAGAACAGATATGATCATAACAGCATATCAAATATTTGAGGGGCTGATGTTGTAGCATAGAAAATTGGACCACCACTTGATACACTCACATTCCATATCAAAGTGCCAGGGATCAAATCCCATCTCTGCCTCTGATCCAGTTTCCTGCTTATGTATTTGGGAGGCAGCAGATGAAGGTCTGGGTACTTGGGTTGCTGCCACCATGTGGAAGACCAGGATAGAATCCCTGCTGGATCCTGGCTCTGGCCAGGCCCAACCCTGCTGTTGTGGCCATCTGGAGAGTAAACCAGCAGATGAAAGATTTCTCTCTCTCTCTCTCTCTCTCCCCGTGTGTGGTGTGTGTGTGTGTGTGTGTGTGTGTGTGTATCTTTCTCTCCCATTCTGCTTTCCAGAAAAACAAATAATAAATCTTTCTTTAAAAAAAAGACTTTGAGACTGAACTAAAGAACAGACCACTACACAGGTCCTACTGAACATTTAATGATGGTACACAGAGGATAGATCCAAATATCAAAGCAAAGTCTTTGCAGACAGAATTGACACTGATACAACAACACAGAGAAGGTTCATTTGAACTTGTGGCCTCTACCCACAGGTCTATTACCGCTGAAGCAGAAGTATTAATATTCTCCATAGGATTTAAACAAAATCTGAAATCTTCCAGCATAACATTTTAAATGTTGGGACACAATTCAAAATTTTCCAGTGTACAAAGAACCAAGAAAATCTCAAGAGAATTAACAGAGCCCAATGATGAGATTACACAGATCCTGGAATTAGCTGATCAAGTCTTTAAAGTGGTTATTATAAAAGTGTACCAGAACTTAAGCAAAAATATTCTTGAAAGGAATACAAAGGAATAAGATATAAAGAATTAAATTGAAGGGGCGGCACTGTGGCCTAGCGGGGAAAGCCGCTTCCTGCAGTACTGGCATCCAATATAGGTTCAAGTCCTGGCTGCTCCACTTCCGATCCAGCTCTCTGCTATGGCCTGGGAAAGCAGTAGAAGATGGCCCAAGTCCTTGGGCCCCTGCACCCATGTAAGAAGACCTGGAGGAAGCTCTTGGCTCTTGGCTCCAGAACAGCACAGCTCCGGCTGTTGTGGCCAACTGGGGAGTGAACCATCAGATGGAAGACCTCTCTCTCTCTTTCTCTCTCTCTCTCTCTCTCTCTCTCTCTGCCGTTCCTTCTCTCTCTGTGTAACTCTGACTTTCAAATAAAATAAATAAGTCTTAAAAAGAATTAAATTGAAATTCAGAACTGAAAAATAGAATAACAGAAATAAAGAACACATTGAATGAACTCAGTCACAGAAAGGAGATGGCAGAAGAAAGACTCAACAAATTTTGAGGTAGACAATATAAATTGCCTGGACTGAAAAGCAGAAAGAAAAGTTATTGAGGAAAAAATGAACATCATCTCAGGGATGACTGGAAAAGTAGCAAAAGATCTAATATTCATGTTACTATGGGTTCAAGAATGGATATTGAAGCCACAATAAGATAATTTAGTATAGTGAAAATATTGAAAAATAATTGAAAATTCCAAAAATTTGGTGGAAAACATAACTTTACATGTTAAATAAACTTAGCAAACTCCAAGAAGGATTAATTCAAAGCAATCCATGCCCAAACACGTCAAAATCAACCTGCTGAAAATTAAAGAAAAAAATTCTTGATAGCAGATACAAGGAAAAAAAATCACATTACTATAGAAGAAAAACAATTTGAACGACTACAAATTTCTCATCTGAAACAATGAAGGGTGGAACAACTTAAAGTGCAAGAAACAAAATGAAGCAAAAATATGTCAATCAAAATACTATATCTCACAAAAACATAACTCATGGATGAAGTTAAACAAATTCTCAGACAAGGAAAATAAAGGGAATTGTTAACAGATCTACTCTAAGGAATTACTAAACAGAGGGAAATGTCATCATAAGGCAAACTGAAACATCAAGACTCTTGGCTTTGGCCTGGTCTAACTCTGGCTGTTGCTGGTATTTGGGAAATGAAGTAGTGGGTGGAATATGTCTGTCTGTCTGTCTATCTCTCCCTGTGTCTGTCTCTCTCTCTCTGTTTCTCTGCCTTTCAACAAATATAAATACTTTAAAAAAAAAAAAAAAAAAAGCACTAGAGCACTAGCTGAATCAAGAAAGTATGTACTAGGGAAGAGATAGGCACTTAGATCGGTGGAACAGAATAAACAGCCCAGAAACAGACCCATATAAATGCTGACAATTGGTTTTCAGCAAAGGCCCAAAGGATTGTCTTTTTCAACAAATGATGCTGTCCCATAAAAACATGAACTTTAATTTTTCATACTTTATATTAATATTAATTCAAAATGCATTATATATCTAAATGTAAAATATAAAATATACAACTTTTAGACAGAATCCTTGGAGAAAATCTTAATGACCTATCATTGTGCAATGATTCCTTATATAATACAAAAAGAAAAAAATTATAAATTTGACTTCATCAATATTTAAAATTTTGCAAAAGGAGGATGGGGAAAAGATTCTTAATGGGAATCATTAAGGGAGCAGTTGGAGAAGGGAAATGAATTTTTTTTTTTTTTTGACAGGCAGAGTAGACAGTGAGAGAGAGAGAGAGAGACAGAGAGAAAGGTCTTCCTTTTGCCGTTGGTTCACCCTCCAATGGCCGCCACGGCTGGCGCGCTGTGGCCAGCGCACCACGCTGATCTGATGGCAGGAGCCAGGTACTTCTCCTGGTCTCCCATGGGGTGCAGGGCCCAAACACTTGGGCCATCCTCCACTGCCTTCCCGGGCCACAGCAGAGAGCTGGCCTGGAAGAGGGGCAACCGGGACAGAATCTGGTGCCCCGACTGGGACTAGAACCCGTTGTGCTGGCACCGCAAGGCGGAGGATTAGCCTAGTGAGCCACGGTGCTGGCCAAGAGAAATGAATTTTAATGCACAATAGAGTAACAAGAATTGACAACATCTAATTGGATATTTCTTTTTCCAAAAAGGATTGATATATTTATTTGAAAGACAAAGTTAGAGAGAGAGAGAAGGAATATTCATCTGCTGGTTCACTCCCCAAGTGGGCTCACCAGGTTGAAGCCAGAAGCCAGGAGCTTCATCTGGGTCTCCTACTTGGGTGGCAGAGGCTCAGGCACCTGGGCTATCTTCTGCAGTTTTCCCAGGCACATTAGCAGGGAGCTGGATCAGAAGTGGAGCAGTGAGGACACAAACAAGCACCCACAGGAGATACCAGTGTCACAAATAGTAGATTAACCTGCTACACCATGATGCTGGTCTCCTAACTGTATATTTCAAAATAGCTTAGAGAATTTGGAATGTTCTCAACATAAACAAATAATAAATGTGTGAGGTGATGTATATGCCAATTACCCTGATCATTACACATTACATACATGTATTGAAATATGACATTGTACCCCATACATTATGTGTTACTCAAAAATTTTAAATGGGGCAGGATTTAGCTGAACAGTTCAGACACCAATTAAGATGTTCTTGTTTCCCATTAGAGTAACGGGGTTTGATGCCCTGATAAATCTCCTGACTCCAGCTTTCTGTTACTGCAGACCCTAGATGACAGTGGTGATGATTCAAATGGTTGGATTCTTGCTAGCCACATGGGGGACCTTGATTGTGTTCCAGCTCTTTGCTTTGATCTGGTCCAGTTTCAGATGCTGTGGGCATTTGGAGAGTAAGCCAGCAGATGGGAATTCTCTCTCCCTCTCTCTCTGCCTTTCAAATAAATTAAAAAATTAATTTAAATATATTTAAAAATGTGTGTGTGGGGGTACTTTACAAAAGGCATTAGTAACAATAAATAAAAAGACAAATTATAAACAAAAAATTTGCAAATTTTTTTAAAGATTTATTTATTTGAAAGTCAGAGTTACACAGAGAGAGAAGGAGAGGCAGAGAGAGGTGTTCTATCTGATGGTTCACTCCCCGGTTGGCTGCAATGGCTGGAGCTGCGCCGATCCAAAGCCAGGAGCCAGGTCTCCCACGTGGGTGCAGGGGCCCATGAACTTGGGCCATCTTCTACTGCTTTCCCAGGCCATAGCAGAGAGCTAGATCGGAAGAGGAGCAGCCAGGACGAGAACCAGCGCCCATACAGGATGCCGGCACTTCAGGCCAGGGCGTAAACCTGCTGCATCACAGTGTCAGCCCCAAAATTTTGCAAATTTAATCTCCAAGAAAGTCTTTATATCTAGAATAGAGGAAAACTTATGGAAATCACACATCTGACGACATTCTGTGTAGAATATATAAAGAATTCTAAAAACTCAACAGTAAGAAAACAAACAACTCAGTTTAAAAACAGGCTAAATACTGAGCAGGCATTTTTCTAAACTAGATAAATGAATGGCAAATAAATTCATGAAACAGTATGTTAATACTATTAATCATATGGAAAATTCCAATTAAAACCACAAAGAGGGCGCAGGGGAGTTGGGTGTAGCAGTTAAGATACTGTTTGGGATGCTAGTGTCCCATATAGGAGTGCCTGATTTGAGCCCCAGTTCCACTCCTAACTCCAGCTTCCTGTTACTGTGTACCCTGGGAAGCTCAAAAGTAACTGTGTCCCTGCTACCTATGTGACACGAGACCTAAATTTGACTTCTGTCTCGTTGTTTTGATATGACTCAGCCCTGACTGTTGCAGGCATATGGGAGATATTTCTCTTTCTCTCTCTCTCTCTCTCTCTCTCTCTCTCTCTCTCCTTTCCCCCCTCCCTTACAAATAAATTAAAAACCAAAAACAATCAGATACCTATTGGAATAACTGAAGTAAAAAATACTGATAATACCAAATGCTGGTGGGATGAAGAGCAAATGGACTGCTGATACAATCTTGTAGAAATACAAAATGGCACAGACACTGTGAAAAACAGTCTAACAATTTCTTATAAAGCTAAAAATATCCTTGTTACATAATCTAGCAGTTCCACCCCAAGGTGTTTATCCTAAGGAAGTACAAAACTTCTATCCAGAGAAAAATCTTTAGACAAAGTTTATGGCAGCTCTATTCATAATTATCCAAAACTAGAAACAATTTTAATGTTCTTCAATGAATGAGTGAAAAAACTGTGCTATATTTATTCAATTGAATACTAACTTGTAATAAAAAGGAATGAACTCTTGATATATATAATATCTTTGATGAATCTCAAACATATTATGCTAGTAAAAGAAGCCAGTCTCAAAAGCTTTCATCCTGTATGATTTTATTTGGCATTCTCAAAAAGACGAAATTATAATGACAAAGAATACATCGGCTGGCGCTGCGGCTCACTAGGCTAATCCTCCACCTTTCGGCGCCAGCACACCGGGTTCTAGTCCCGGTCGGGGTGCCGGATTCTGTCCCAGTTGCCCCTCTTCCTGTCCAGCTCTCTGCTGTGGCCAGGGAGTGCAGTGGAGGATGGCCCAAGTGCTTGGGCCCTGCACCCCATGGGAGACCAGGATAAGTACCTGGCTCCTGCCATCGGCAGCGCGGTGCGCTGGCCACGGCGGCCATTGGAGGGTGAACCAACAACAAAGGAAGACCTTTCTCTCTGTTTCTCTCTCTCACTGTCCACTCTGCCTGTCCAAAAAAAAAAAAGGAATATATCAGTGGTTTCCAGGTGTTGGAATGATTGAGAGGGCACAACTGCAAGGGGGTTATAGGGTGTTTTTTTCTTTTTGGGGTAATGCAACTGTTCTGTATTCTGGTTGTGGTAGTGCCTATATAAATCTATTCTGGTTAAAATTCATAAAACTGTGCAAACATATAGCATGTCCTACTATATGTTAATTCAAAAATAAAATGCAAATATGATGTGTTGCTGTTGTAATATTTGAAAATAATTTTAGCAGAGTAAGTGCATATAAAAAATTAAAATTTGGAGGCATTAAGTCCACCTCACTTGTATATGTACTTGAAATATAAAATGCAACAATGTCTCACTTCATTCTAAGCAAGACAAAATGTAGTCTTGTTTAGAATGAAGTGAGATACTGTTTCCAGTTAACATTTTGTATTCTCACATATCAAATGTATAGTAACACAGAAGATATTTTCTAATGGTGCTTTAGTAAAGTCTGGAAGCTGCAGAACCAATAGCTATAATTCAATCATGCTTTTCTTACCTTTAAGCCATAACAGTCCATATTAAAAAAGCTTTAAAATGGTTAAAAATTGTTTTTATCAATTTATTTTTACTTTTTCTGAAAGGCAGACAAACACATAGGGAGAAAAAGAGATTTTTCCATATGCTGGATCACTCCTCAAATGTCCACAACAGCCAGGGTTGGGCCAGGCCAGAGCTAGGTGTCTGGAACTTAATTTGGGGCTCCACATGGGTGGCAGATACCAAAGTACCTGAACCATCAGTTCCCAGGGTGTGAATTAGCAGGAATAAGAATCACAAGCGGAGGAGTCACGACTCAAACCAGGCATCTGATACAGAATGCAGGTGTCCCAAGTGGTGTCTTAAGCACTGAGCCAAATGTCTGTCCCTCGAATTTTTTTAAATTTTAGAACAGGGCATTATGAGTTTGAACCCAGGTTTTTAACTAGACAACTTGGTTTAAATCCTGGTTCTATCTGACCTTCAGCAAACTACTTTATCTTTCTGGGTCTCAGTTGCCTGATCAGAACAGTAACTACTACACAGGATTGTTATGAGAATTACATGACCTAATATATATAAAGCACTCAGAGGAGCGGCTGGCATATAATAAGCATTACTAAAGTGTTTATTAAATAAAATATACTCAGTTGTTATTCATTTGTCAGTCACAATACCTAGTATGTATGCCATGTGTCATAACTGATTAAATACACAAATTATGCCTGTGTGATTCACATGGAATTTTACCAATTATTAATTAGCTAGATGAAGATTTTATTGTAAGATTTTGTACTTGAGTCTGTCCCTAAAAACTGTGACAGGTACAGCATGCACTACCAAGGCTATGGCTATAGTTATAGTGAAGAAGATGAAGAGGCTTCAATGAACAGCAAATTCAATAGGTATAAAAAGATAGGTGCCAGCAAAAGGAAGCTAGTTTGATCCTGAAGTGTGTTGATAAATTTATAGTACCCACACTGGTTACTATTGAATACATATATATTATGTATATTCTAGATTCTAGATTCACACTTAATTTAGCTAAACAGACTTAATCTATGTAGTTCCACTAGCAAGATAAAAGTTCTAGGCAAAAAGACATAGGCCCAGAAATAGGAACTAAAACTGGAGTCCTCTGGATATGGAAAGGGCTATCGGAGCAGTTAGTGAATTCCATGTCATCAGTAATGTTCAAATAAGCTCAACCGACATTTAATGTGACAATATGATTATACTACCAAAGTCATTTCCTAGTGAATATTGTATCTGCCTCAGATCCTTTACATTCATTATCTTCAATCCTCTCACCAACACTATAATGCAGACATCTTCATAGATTATAAAGATGAGGTTATTAAGGCCCAGAGGGGTTAAATAAATTGTCCCAAATATACACTTACTAAGTGGCCAAGCAGTGACTTGATCCAGGTCCTCTAATGCCATAGCACATACACTTTCTACAATTCTACATTGCCTTTGGTGGAAGATTCAATGACATTTAATTTTCCTTTTGATCAGTCCTGAGAGTCTGTGATTTGTTGAAATTTTATCCTCCTAGAAATGTATCCAGGTCTTCCCTAACAATTTCTATAACACTGGAGCATGTGTCTTTCTCAAAGAAAAAGATGGTATGTGTCTTAATCTTTCTTGATGCTGGTTTGTTATTTCTATGAGAGTTACATGTTCCAAGCTGACACACCACTCAGTATCTAAACAGAAGATGGAATTAACAATAAAGTGGACTGTGCAGAAAGGTATGAAGTTTCATACTCCTGAGTTAACTTTCTAGAGAGTGATATTTAAAAACAAACAGGGGCCAGTGCTGTGGCACAGCTGGTTAAAGCCACAGCCTGTAGTACCGGCATCACAGATGGGCACCAGTTCGAGTCCCAGCTTTTCCACTTCAGATCCAGCTTCCTGCTAATGCCCCAGAAACCAGCTAAGGATGGCCCAAGTCCCTGGGCCCCTGCACTAATGTGGGAGACTCAGAAGAAGCTCCTGGTTCATGGCTTCAGCCTGGCCCAATCCTGTCCTTTGTGGCCATTTTAAAAAGGAGTGAACCAGTAGATGGAAGATCTCTCTCTGTCTCTCCTTCTCTCTCTATGTGTAACTCTGCCTTTCAAATAAATAAATCTTTAAAAAAAAAAAAAAGAGGTAAAATGTTTTTTCTGTTGATGAAAGCAGTAAAGGAACACATATGCAGTGATAAATCATGTCCTTATCTCTCTGTTCTTTTTCCCTAATTCTCAACTAAAATATGACTCATAAGAATCTACATGATTGTTTTCAGAATGTGTTACAGTAATCTCTCATCAACTGAGAGTGCAGATGGTTACATTCCTGAAAAGTGCCATGTTAGATAAAATCATGCTTGGAAAGCTCAAGAAAATTGGGAATTTACAAGAGAATGAAACAATGAAATTAGTAACAAAGCAGAAAAGATTGTCTCCCTCAGTTGTACATGAGCTCATCTTCTGAAAGTCATGATCTGCTGTGACAGATGGGTTTATTTCATAATATTTATACTTTTTTTCCTTAAAGTTTTTGATCCAGCCCTTACTATGTGTATTGATACTTAATGCTTACAATTGCTTTCTTGCTGGTATCATTTGTTCAGGTTTTGGAAGCATTCTTTGTAGTCAGTTAGTCCTTCCACAAATGAAGAGCACGATTTTTCTGGGTGTAGTTTTGTATTGTTATCTTCCACTCATTATCTGTGGAGAGTGGAAGGTGGAGGTGGGGAGAACAGACCTCTTCTACCTTCATTATATCATAGATGTGACCATAAGGCTGGGGTGGAGGTGGGGATGAGAGTAGGGATAACTGAAGTTAAAAAAGTCTTTGTTGGGGCTGGTGCTGTGGCGCAGAGGGTTAAAGCCCTGGCCTGTAAGCACCAGCATCCCCTATGAGCACCCTGCTGCTCCTCTACCTATCCAGCTTTCTGCTAGGGCCTGGGAAAGCAATAGAAGATGGCCCAAGTCCTTGGGCCCTGCACCCACATGGGAGATCTGGAAGAAGCTCCTGGCTCCTGGCTTTGGATCAGCATAGCTCCAGCCATTGTGGCCATCTGGGGAGTGAATCAGCAGATGGAAGACCTC